TGCCCTCCAGTCACCTGTGCTTTATGCAGATGACACATCTAGCCGCCTCCCAAAACACCGTCACCGCACCCTTACACGCTTTTGTGTCTACCACTTGTAGATTGAAGCTGATCTCAATGCTGTTTATGGATTCATGGGCAAAATGAGAACAGCAGAGGAAGCTAAATCAAAAGCGACAGACAAAAAAAACGAGGCCGAGTCTCGGAGCCGCTCATTACACCGTAGACCATTAGCAGACCAGCAAGAGCAGAAAAGAGCAGAGAGATGAAAATCAAGGAGCCGTTTGACGCCCGCTGAAATTTCAGCTCCGCTCAGACAAATACTCCCACAACACCACTCCCCTGACTCTTTTCAATTTTCTTATGGAATATTAATCTTTAATAGGATAATAATTGTGGTAGCATATTTGATGTCACCCACCATTAGACCAGATTAATTAGGCCATTTAGTTTAGCTTAAGAAAGTGTCGCCCATGAAGAATGGGCCAGAACGAAAGCAGAGAGCTGTGATTGGCTGCTTTATGTGCTTTGTAATGGCTTTCATTGGATTTCATGGCTTTCCATCTCACATAGAGCGTCTGTGCTTTAGTACTGATAGTGAAGGTGTTGCTCAATGCTTTGGTCAGTGACATCATACTTTTTTATTCGTTTATTTTTATGGCCTTGATATATCAAGTTATTTCAGACAGTGACTTTTTCGATTTCTAAACTAAAGTTATGATTATTGTTTAAATTTATGGGTACAAAAATGTCTAGATGGTATAACTGCCCAGAGATTGTAAAACTGAAAACAAAAATCTTGTAAACCTGAAAACAAAAATATAAAAAATATTGTTTGGAATATTATTTCTTCACATAAGCATTAAAGCTTATGTGTTTGAAATATTATTATTTTAAAAACTACATAAAATATATGAAATAATATATACATTGTTTTAGTATAGTATTTATACTTTAGTACTAGTGGTTAGTATTTATTATATATAAAAGTGTGTGTATATAATATGAATAATATATATATATATATATATATATATATATATATATATAATTTAT